AACCGCTCTCACCGGCGGCGGTAAACAAGATGCGGAACACAGTCTAAAGTAATCATCAGTAAGCGGTATAAGACTTAATTTTCTAAGCCCCATTAAAACCTATTTTCTTTGTTTGTTTTCAATCTGATGAGAACTTCGAGCACCAATCAATTCGTGTTTTCCTCTTTCACTAATTAATTTAATCATCCCCACTTCGAATTCCCCTCTCCGCCTTGAACTATGCAATTCAATATTACGCTACACATACATTGTCTCTCCTACAATTCTATAAGTTTATTGGTTGGCAGCACGCACCGCGGCACAAGCTGATAACAAAACAAAAAGAAACTGGACGCGTAGACCTCTTATCAGTTTTTTATTTGAAACACTCCTTATACTAAGGCGCCGATCAAAGAACAAAGAGAACAAAGTGACTCTCACATACACTGTCGTTGACAAAGTCATCAGAAAGTCGAGACGTGAATAAAAACATATACAAATTTTAAATAAGAAATTAGTTGAAATGATGCTGACTATATAAGAATTCTAAGAAAAATTGGTCTAGGAACAGATGACGCTTTCAGCCATATGGGACAAGAACACTTGCTTTCCACGCTCAAACAACCCGCCGATGTATCGAACTTCCCCTCGTAGTAGTGATTTCGGATCAGATTTGCAGGGGTCTGAAGAGTTATTTCTGACCGGTTTACCTACGATATGTCCACAGCAAGGCCATGGCTCGCGAAATGAATATGAAATCAGATTCATCTTGCGCTATGGCCTTACCATAGAGTTACGTTAGGTAGAACAGTTGATCATAGTCACTGATTAAGGTGGTCTAGAGAGGACGATTCATAGCTGACCACGAAAATCGCAATATATTTCGTGCAATAAGGCCCTTTGGGTCACGTACTTGTAAAAAGAAAAGGATCATTACGGTTCTAATTAACAGTGTTCTATTATCGATGCCATGTTTGATTAAGCAGCCCAAAAGTCAATAATTCTAAGAAATCAAAAGTACCACATTCGTTAAGCGTTGAAATACCCTGCAGGCTAGTGTTCAGCAGCTTAAAACAAAGAGCACAAAAATTCAAAAAGTCATAAGGCCGATCGGTGTTACTCGATAAGATAACTTGCGTTATAGGTTTTACTCAAACATATTCAAAAACGTTTAGTCAGAAGTCCAAGAGTTTCCCTTGCTTACAGCGCAGCTACCGTAACTATTGTACAAGCCTGCATCTGTTTCTGACCATAATGCTTTCATAACCCTACACTTCTTCAACTAGGTACCAAAATTTACAGGTGTTATATTGGGAATCCACAGAATTATATTATTCAGTAGAATACGATCCAACAGCGCGTCATCTCGTCTTTGAAGGCAGAAATGTATGTTACAAGATCTACTGTCGTTGAGTTAAAGGATTTTCAAAAGTCATACTATCTCCACCTATTCAGAGCCGAACACCAGTTAAGTTCGGTTTCAAGCTTTCTTTTCAAGCAGTTCCGGTAACCTGGATGGTGATGGGATATTACCGAACGATAACAGGACGACAGTGATACTTGATAATCCTTAGGTGCTTTCCACACGAATTCCGTTTTTCTTCTTATAGCTACAACTTTCACCTTTGCCGCGGTTCCGTTTATACTCGGTAATTCTTTGCCATGCGCACGAACGAAGTCTCGGCGTCTCCAATGAGCGCAGACGTAGTTTCCTCCCAAAGCGGTACGTCGAGGCCGCTCGTCTCGAAAAGAAGAAGGCAGTTGCGTACGGTCGAGTTCGTCGGTCGAAGAGAGCCTTTGCTTCCTCAAAAAAATGCTGCTGAGTGCTTTGCATAATGGCAAATTACACCAACCTGAACTCATTTCCGACTTTAATCAGATATTTTGCATAGCGCATGCTGCGTCTCGCCTCCCAATAGTGTACATCGCCGTAGTTTTGATGGAGTATAGCTTCAGCACGATCGATAAAGATGCTATTTCTGGAAGTATGCAAGGTAAGATTTGCTTGCTTGAGCTTTGTTTCACTCAAACTTTACTTGTCGCGGTATTCATTTAGAATTATCTTCTTCAATGTTTCGGAATCTCCTTGCACTGACAAACATTCAAACTCTTTCGCTCTGACTTCGTTGAATGAAAAGAACCAGCCTCGCCTGAAAAAGCTACATGAAAAGGATCGGTTCAGTGGATGAGCAGCTTTTTGAAATTTACCAAGCGTTGTTTTCATTCTTGTAGAAGCGCGAGCCATCAATGCATTCTCTGTGATCATATTTGAGAACGTATTCGTCAGTCCAGCCTTCCTTGTAAGGTTGGAGATAAACAACTTGATCGATTACTCGGCCATATTCTAAACTTGAGTTATTTCTCATTTCCAACATAGGTTCTGGTTAAATAATCATTCACATTTTTT